CTCCGGGCTCTGCCACTGTATCCACCCCTTCCACTGCCTCCCGTTCCTACACAGCCAGCCCCAACTCCCGACCCTGGGCCTCGGGAAGTGGTTGAACTGTCTCCCACTCTTTATAAGGATCAGTTAGAAAATCCTGTGTTAGTTCCTGGAACACAGGGACCTGGTTTGGTATTGCCATCCAAGACCTGACAGTTCACCCAGTTTGGACCAGGAGCCACTCCCTGCACAGGACAATTTCTTCTACATCAGTATCTCAGCAGGCTGGGTTTAACAAAATTAAAGAAGTCCATCAGAAAACAAGTGAAGGACTCTCTGAATTTTTGGAAAGGATTTATCAGATTTACAGCAGATCCTGAGGCCCCTAGAAAATGCTAGAATGGTAAATAGGAGAAAATTGAAAAAATTAGATGGTGCATTTGAAATGGTAGATGTTGCTTTTAAAATGTTAAACAACATGGAGATACTCACTCTGGAAGGTCGTCACTTTACCCAAGGTTGCCCTTATATCCTTCATCATCACCTCACTCAGCTCATGTTTTGGCTTTCTTGATCCTATGCTGCCCCTCTTTGTTTCGGAGAAGTTTGATTTACCAGCTGGATACGTGGGACTGTATTCCTGGGTTTGGCACTATCCTATGCCATTTCTTCTTAACTATTGGGCCGATTCAGTGGTAAAATGCCACATCTAAGGAAATGGCTTCTGGTTTTTAGAAACTTAATCACAGCCTGATGCTACATTGTCTTAGGACCTGCCCCAGTCTTGCACATTAAGAGGTAATGGCCCTCAGGGAAATGAACGGGAGACACCCAGGCAGCTTTCAAGAGGACGTATTTCTGTACTGGTATCAGAAGCTTCCGTTAACTTAGCTCCATGCTGTGCTGTTCCACCCTTGGGCCCTTTTCCCCCAAGGAGGCTGAAAAGAAAGGAGCTAGCAATACAGTTATTGGTATGATCTTTGGATGCTATGCTTTGTTTGATTTGCTGGCATCTTTGGCATTTGGAAAATATCTTGTACATATTAGAGCAAAATTTACATTTGTAGCAGGAATGTTTGTCTCAGGAGGAGTTATAATTCTCTTTAGTGTATTGGGCCAAGTTCCAGAAGGACTGGTGTTTATTGCTATATGTTTTCTAGCGAGATAACTGATGCAGTAAGTTTCACTACAGCAATAACCACATCTTCTGTCTTTGCAAAGGCATTTCCACATGTTGTGGCTACAGTACTGGGAAGTCTTGAGCCTCTTCCTGGACTGGGGCTGATGCTAAGTCCTTCTTTAGGTGGCTTCTTGTATCAATCCTCTGCCTATGAGTTGCCTTTTATTTTTCTGGGATGCATAGCTCTGTCAATGGTACCCCTCAATATGTCTATTTGATGAGTCTGATCCAGGAAAACAATTAAAAAAAAAAAGACAGGAGCCTTTCATATTGTAGGAAGAGGAACACTCTGGTGATAAACAAAGTGGCCTAGGGGCTCCCCTGGACTTGAGGCACCCGGTTCCAATTTCCCCACAGAAATGCTGGGTAAAACTGACAGTGGGGAATGAGCTGACTGACTTTCTAATGGCTCCTGGGGCAACATCCTCTGTCGTAAACCCCAAGGTGGCACAGAAAACATCTCAATCCATCCCAGTCACAGGAGTCTCTAGAGGACAAAATCATTCCTTCTTACAACCTCTGCAATGGCAATTAAGAGACCTCACCCTGAAACAGTTCGCAGGAGAGATGCCACCTTATAATGGATTCAAAAATATAACCTACAAAAGACTGTCCAGTGAATCACTCAAATTTCATGACTTGTGCTAAAAATAACCCGAAGACTGCTGTCGGACCTTCCCAGATGGGGACTCAACACAGAGGAAGCTGCCCCACTGAGGACTGGCAAATAGACTTTACTTGAATACCTCGAGCTGCAGGAAATTTCAGATACCTGCTAGTGTTTATGGACACTTTTTCAGGAAGGGGGGAGGCAAATCCCACCCGGACAGAAAAAGCCTCCAAAGTGGTTACAGCCCTCCTTAAGGAAATCATCCCCGATTTGCATTGCCTAGCACCCTTCAGAGTGATAGCAGGCCTGCTTTTGTCTCGAGGAAGTGTCTAAAGCATTGCAAGTTAGTTGGAAACCACATCCTTCCTGGGGACCACAATCAACAGGAAAAACCGAGAAAATGAATCACACATTAAAAAGGAACATTGCTAAAATCTGTCAAGAGACTAATTTAACTTGGGATAAGGCCCTGCCAGTTGCCCTGCTACAGACAGATCAGAGTGGGTCCCAGAAGCAGGCTTAAATTAAGCCCCTTTAAAATACTGTATGGAAGGCCGTTCCGGGTGCCTTCCCTGGGCTAGAAAACCTGTAAAGTCTCTGGAGGACTTAGCAGTTGCCAATTACTTACAACTCTGGGCACTATACTAACCTCTGTTGGTGAGTTTGCCTCCAGCAGGTCTGCCTGTCCTTTCCGACCTGGAGACCGAGTCCTCCTCAAAACCTGGAGAGAACGAGAGCCTGAACGTCTGCGGGCTGCGAGGAGGACGGGCCCCCACGTGGCAGCACCACACACCCATCTGTCAAGCTAGCCGGGGTAAAGCCGTGGGTTCATCACACTCGGATTAAAGCAGCACCACCATCTGGTTCAGCAGAACCAGAAAACGGCCCAACTCTGAAAAAGTACATTATGAGTTGTTTTTGGGATTCCAACCAGACAAGTTTGAAGATGGCATCATGATGCTGGGAAATACATTCTCTAAGGGGATCAACTGGATATAAAAAGATGAGAATCACTGTGCATATTGAGTCACTGAGCATGAACTAAAATTACAGCTGCTTAATGAATAATTCGACTTGTATCTCTCTAATCCAGTGCATTCGAACCCAGGTGTTTTCTGTATTTTGAAGCCCTCAGGACTCACCTATACCCAGGGTTACAGCATGTTTCTTAGGGTGGCTGCTTCTGACCATGGTAGAAACATCTCTGGGGTCATTTTCTTTCTCTGACTTCTATTTTACTAGATTAAATACCTGGATTCTTCTTTTGCTCCTCAGCCTTGAAGTTTACTATGCCATGTGGAAGGTGTGCGCCTGATTGTTTCATTTTGCTTTGATCTGAGATGCAGCCTCTCCCAGCCTTATACAGTGTAGCTCATGGTCTGGTACATCAGAATGCCCCACCCCACAGATGCTCGAGCCCCGCAGACCTCTGGCAACCCCAAGTTGGGGGGCCAGGAATTGACTTGAGAAGGCATCACTTTGTAAGTCTAGCCGTGTGTGCAATGTTGAGGTTGGTCTGCCAGAGGGAAACAGTTCCACTCGGATGAACCAGGCAAAGGAAACCTTGACTAGATTTACTGGGAGAAACCTGCCAGTTGTTGGAGGGTTGAGCATTGTCCTGGAACCCTGACTGTGGAGTGGAGGGCATTTTCAGGCAGAGAGAACCACATTTGAGAACACAACCACATTCCACAGAGGAGTACCACTGCTTGATCGGGCACCTACAAGCATGTCAGCATGGTGGTGCAGTGGGTTTATGCATTGACAGTCAGGAGGAGCCAGAAAGAAAAGATTAGAAAAATAGTAGCAGATGATGCGTGATCTAAGCTGTGCGGGGGGATGTGACTTGATCTTGTACATGTTGGGAATACTTTGTATAAGGGTAACAGGATCAGAATCAACTATATTTCCTGGTAAAATTGGTGGAGCCTCGTATGATGAATCATCCAGAGATTTCGCAGATAAAGATACTTTACAGGAATGTAAGTGTCACAGATTCAAAGCAACTAGTCCTCTCCACTCCATATCCCACCAACAATGGCAAAAGCATCTATACTGAATGTTCACAATATGCTTGCTCTCCAGATAGTTGTTTGAGTTTCACCAGTGGTGCCTTGATGGTCACACTGGCCTCCCTTCGGGATAGTTGGACTTTTCTCTTCACTTAACCCTTTTCCTACTTCTGCCTCCTTTTTATGCTACTTCTCACTGCAGGTTCTCTGACTAATATTTACTGCTGCGATCTTTTAAATAAAATACACGTTTAGAAGTCTTGCTATGATTTAGATTCTGATCATGGGCCAGCTGTTTTCACCTAGACATGCTGTGGGTAGGAAAAATTGCTAGAAAAATTTAGAATAGAGCTTTCTCTTCCCAGTTGGTGTCAGATGAAGATAGGTGAATTAATACTTTTTTGTCTCTCAGTGTTTTTCCATTTTTTAAAGTTCATTCCATGTCAGAAAAAAAATCAGAATTCACTCTTGCTGCATTTTGATGTACTTCTTGAAAGATTATTAGCTAAATCAGTCATACTCGCAGAGAGATGATATGGTCCAACTTATTCTCATAACTTACAGTTTGGACTGATTTTTCCTTTGCTTTCTTCCAAGCTATTATTTTACTGGCAGTAAAGAAAAATGGACCCATTGAGCTATCAGACAATATTTTGGAACCAGGATCGTTTTCACCCTCATAAAGGCCAGCTTGAAATCATCAGCAGGGTTATCAGAGGAGCAATGTTTTGTCTTTTACAAATGACTGGAAATGACTGGAAGTCCTGACCAAGGAATTTTTGGACTCAGCCAGGGCAATGAATTATGATTTAATCTTTATTTTAAAACGAATTATCCTAAACTTACTTCTAGTTTGTATGAAGGATTTCAAAGAAAATGTGACGTGTTTTACATAAGATTAGGTGACTGGCTTCAGCCAAAAAATCCTATGTAGCTGCTGGTTACCCCTCCTGAAATGCATGATCCTTGTTATTTAAGAAAGCATTTGTTTTCAGTAGTCTCTGATTACTGTTGCTCATTAATATTATTGTAGTGAGGGTGTGTGTGTGTGTGTGTGTGTGTGTGTGTGTGTGAGTGTGACTGAGCTGGGTGTCCTCCACTGAACCCTGGCATGACATAACAGGTAAAGATGGGCCTTCTGTGATTCTGTTTGTAAATAGAGTCCTTGACTGTCCTCATCCTCACCCTTAATTCTAGTTCTAGTTCCCTATTTTGAAATTAATGTAGCATCTCTATCAGCAAGTCTGTAGTCATTGCACACTCAAGATGTCCTATTTTTACCACCTTGACTCTTTCGCACTTTCTCTCTTCATCAGTAAAGCATTCTTCCAAACTCCAAGCCTGGAAACATCTTTCCTTCCTCCTTCAAAATTCTGCAGATCCATAAAACAAAAGATCCCTAAATTACTCTGACAATGATTCTCAAAGTAGATTAGTATCTTGGTCTTTGTTGCCACTGCACAACCACAATTAGAAGTCTTCTGCTCCGTGTGTCTTTGACACCACCAGATGTCCCTCTGCTGTTCAGAAATTTATGTGCTTCCCCATTGCCTGAGCAGTCAAGTCCAGTCTCATGTCCCCATCAGGTGGCCCTTCTTCTTGAATGGTGATATTCCCACCTCTTCTCAGTAAATAACCTCAACTTTGAGGCCAAAGTCTATGCACCTCCCATGCCTTTCCACATCAGCACTGATGCTTAGCCAGTCCCTGGAAATGGCAGCTCCCCTTCTTCCTACTCCTTTTTATCAGCTTTGCTATTTTCTACCATCACATGAAGCCTGTTTTAGTTCTCTCCATATTGGTAAAGTGATCTTTAGTAACTTTTGCTGCTACCGACCTTGTAAAACTCCGAGCTATACATTTGCTGGCTCATAGTGGGCATTCAGTAAACATTTAAATTAAATTACATTTGGTCATATTAATCTCAGTCTCCTTCAAGTGCGAAAGTACTGTCCTTTAAACTACAGTATAAGGTCTTTGAATTTAATAAACACTTGCCCAATTGAATTGACTGACGTGTTGGAACTAGTTTTAATTTTTAAGTATGTGCCTGCACATAGTCCATCAAACATAGCCATTTAAATATAAAGGAAATTTAAGTGAATATTTTTCTTCTACAGTTTATCTGAGAGGAGGAGAATTGATGTGATTACCCTCTTTCTCCCTTTAGGGTACATAATATTCTCTTAGGAGTCAGGACAAGCGCTGTCATTTTTGTCTTTCAATAGCATTATGAGCTCACGCATTCTGATACATGGAATTGCGTGGGAAGACAGTTAAAGGAACAGTCTCTGTTTTCTGGATTGCTACATTCTAGTTAAGAAAACAGTGATGAAACAATGCAAGACCTTGTGCCAACATGGATGTTTTTGGCAGAGAAATACACAGAGGGATTATGAATGGGTACAAATGCAATAAGAGAAGGCTGTTAGGGAATGGGGGTACTAGAGATGAGCCTTGAGTAAGGGGTAAGAGTTTAATGAGGAGGGTTGATGCAAGACAATAACTCTATCTGCGTCTTAGTACCCCTTCCTTCCATAAAATGAAGAGCTTGGGAAAGATTACTTTCAGGGTTACTTCCAGGGACCCAAGGTAGGGAAGAGGAGGGTCATGGCAGAGGAGGAACAGTGATCATAGCAAAATAATTAGCTGAGCAAGTCTGAGCAATGAAGCTGGTGAGGACAGGAAAGATCTTTGAGTGACTTTTGGTCTTGAGGAGGTAGACAGCAGGTGCCATGGGTTCAGGATATTCCA